TGGGCACTCCCCAGCTGGGCATCCTGGCCAGGAGGGGAGGGTTTGCAGCTGACCGGGAGCAGTGGGGGTTTGCAGCTGGCCGAGCACTCTGGCTGTGAGTGGGGACGCTGCAAACCCCCTCCCAGCCGGAGTGCCTGGCTGGGTGCAAACCTCCCCATTCCCACAGCCCCCAACCAGCTTGGGAACTCCAGTGGAGTGGCATTCCAGGGAGGTTTGCAGTCTCCCCACTTCCCCAGCCCTGAGCTAGCTTGGGCACTCCCAAGCCAGGCATTACATCTAGGAGAGGGGTTGCAGCCTTCCCGCTCTCAGCTGGAGTGCTCAGCTGGCTGCAAATCCACGCTGCTCCCAGCCAGCTGCAAACCCCCTGCCCCACTCCTGGCCAGAGGGCCTGGCTGGGGAGTGCTCAAGCTCACTGGGGACTGAGGGAGCGGGGAGGTGTGCAGTTGGCTGGGCACTCCAACCAGGTGGAGCTGCGGGGAGGGGGGTTATAGCCTCCCCCACTCCCTCAGCCCCTAGCCAGCTTGGGAACTCTCTGGCCAAGAGGGGGAGTTTGCAGCCAGCCAGGCACTTCTGCCAGGAGCAGGGAGACTGCAGCCCCACTTCCCACTCCCCTGGCTGGAGTGCCTGGCCAGATGCAAACCCTGGGTCACAAACACTGTGCTTCCCACCCTGCTGCCCTCCCCCAGGCCTTATGGAGTGCAGTGTGTGTGCCTGGCACAGCAGGACACAGTGGCGCCACACATGAAAGCTGCCTGCCACTGCAAGCTCTGTGCTACCCTGGCCACACTTCCTCTGTGTGCACAGGGACAGTGCACACCTGCCCTGCCCTCACCCCCCACACAGATCTGGGGGACGTAAGTCTCCCCTGACCCCCAGGAGTGCACGCTGTCACTGGGAGATGGCCCCACCCAAGCCTGCAACAGGCAGCAGTATGGGGCGATCCAGCTCATGCTCCTACTATAGCAACTGCTGCCTTCCACTGGGGGCAGAGGGATGCTGACCTGGATCCCTGGCCCTGTAGCCCTGGCAGCTGGGGGATCCCTCCAGCAGGGCTGGGAGGCAAGGGCTGGGGGGGGTGGGCAAGGGGCACAAGCAGGGCTGGGGGGCTGTGGGGTAGGAGTAAGGGACACCAGCAGGGCTGTAGGGGTGGGGCTGTGCGGGGGCTGTGAGAGGCATTTAATTTTAACCATGGACCATGGATCTGGGGATTTTTATCAGAGCATTTATGATTTTTTATCATAGAAAACAAGGATCCCTGGTGATGACTAACATGGGGTCCTCACCTGCAGTGATATTGCAGAAAAAAGGTCTAGATCATACTGTTGCCTGTAGTCTTTGTATAGGCCAGGAGTTTGCAGAGTGAGGCTTGGAGTGTAATTCATGCAACAGCACCAAGGGATGTTCTTCCTTGCAGATTTTTGTACAGCTTTAATGAATTGGTCATAGGTCTCAGGCAATGCTTTGATGGTTTTGACTGTGGCATCAAGGTATTTTGAAAAGCCTTTTCAGTGTGCCGTATTAAGGTTGAAACATTGGCAAAATAGCATTGTTATAGGTGTTGCTGCAGCTTTGAATCTAAATCCTAATTGGTTGATGTTGAGAATGTGGGATAGAGTCTAATATCATTTTATGATTTAGTCAGTGATGGTGAATATAAAGTCTGGGTTGTATCCTTTTTTCCAGTGGCTACTATTGAATGATTTAGATAGTTTTGGATCATGAATCGAACTTAACTGATATGCATCTGACTAGCCTTCTATTGCTTCACTGTCTTCATTGGCCTCATTGTAGCCCCATTGCTTGCTGTGGCTGTTAGTTGCCAATGATCACCCATGGTTTATTCTCAGTGACCCTTGGTGTATCTGTAAAGGCAAAACTTGTGTTAGGTGGTTTGTAGAGTGATTGTGATTCCACTGGGTTCAACAGTCAGGATTTCAATGTCGTTTTCTTCAGTCTTTGCTGTAGAAATTATGACTGTCCCAGTTTTAACAAATATGGCACTTCCAAATTGCTTGTGTGGTCTTTCAGTTGCCATAGTCATTCCAGGTATTGAAGGATCATTATGAGGCCCTCAGTGTGTCTCTTGTAAGCACAAGATTTCACACTGGACTTTCTTACATATATTTACAATCACTTTTTTCACTGCTGAAGACCCTTCAAGTTTTGTGGACAATACTTTCAATATTGGCCTTAGGGAGGTCTTGTGTCTACTTTGGTCACAAGGCATTATGATTGGTTATAGTTGGTCAATTTGTAGAGTCAAAATTGTGGTTTGGAGTATTAGCTGAATTTTCAGGTATTACCAGGTGTTACTTGACAGGGGTCACAACAAAAGTATTTCTACCATGTCCCCCCATCCTCCTCCCACCCCATTCCTGGTGGGACTGAAGCAGCAGGGCAAAACCCCTTGCCTGCTTCTCATAAAAGAGACTCCTGTATGAGAAACAGGAAGAGGGCTCTCAGTATTGCTCCTTCTTCTCAGGTTCCAGTGCCTGGGAGTCAAGTAGACTGAGCAACACCCCTGCCTGCTCCACACACCTCAGATTCCAGTTTGAGGAGCTGGTAGGGGCTTTGCCCCACTATCCCAGGGAGAGCCTCCCTAATCTCAGTTCCCTGCTGGCTTCCCCTTGCCCCAGACCCCAGCCAGTGCAGCCCTGAGCTGGGCTCAAATTGGCTTTCCCCAGCCAGTTTTGCTGCTGGCCACACCACACAACCTGAAGGGGAGTGGGGAGAGGAGGGAGAGGCAAGGGGAAGCAGGCAGGGGACAGCAGCATTCCTGG